ATGTACAGTATCGGACCTAATCCGTATCTACCAACTCTGAACCTAAGATTCCCTTTGATACAGTGCGTGTCAATTTGATATGCAAATATGCGTTTAGTATTGGTATGAACATGTGATGTTATAAAAGCAACCTTCCTTCGACTGTGATAGCGACAAGTTGTTTACTATCATTAATCTCGGCAATAGAAAACACACATTTACATATCAAATTGGCACACACTGTTAATTCCAATTATAATGGAAATGAGTTTCAATGCCTTCACTACATAAACAGCCTCCTCAAGAAAAATGTTGAAAATTACGCACATGGTCAACTACACGTTAATTGATAATAAAGAAATTCTCCTTGGTTTCTGCACTGCACTTCTACTCGAATTTGCATGTAGACTCCCGAGCTCAGCTGAGGAAAATTCTCGTTAGTTTTCGTACTATCCGAATTCGTATGTAAACATATATTCCTACTCCAACACTGTATAGGAAACTCCTGAGCTCAGTAGCTGAGGAAAGCGATTACATATATTCCTACTCCAACAACACCGATTGTAAAACCGTCCAATGAGACTGCATTTACTTCGAAAACTCAACAACACCAAAACTACCTAAGAAATCTCAGAATGCTTATGTTCAACACGCACAGCGAAGAATTTCAAATTGGATATCTTTTAATCAAAGATATTTTCCTTGCCCGGAGAGTAAGATACAGAATAGGTCCACGAACCTCAGAAATCCTCATCTAAGGAAAACTCAGCTCCGTGATCAGATGAACTGCCACCAGAAGCAGCAGACGCCATAACACCGTGTTTTTGATATTCTCCTGAAAAAAAGGGAAAATTTTGATTAATTTTTGCTTATTTTTCCTGGAAAAATTTCCCAATAAACTCCAAATAGAAAATTTCTCTCGAACAAAAAAACACTCATTTTATGCAAAACTCAATGCCAAGAACTCTAGGAAAATTTTCCGGAAAAAAAAACTGATATTTTTCGATCATTCGTGTAATACAGTCGCATGTAGACGCATCGTCGAAGCAGAAAAACTACGTATTTATTTTTCCGTCGGGAAAAAATTTCTTGAGAATAGAAAACTTTTCATGTCGTACAATTAACTCACCGAGAAAATTACCAACCAAATACGTAAACTTTTCAGTCTATATTTTTATTCCAAATTTTCCGAAAATTTTCCCAAAATTTCCCAAAATTTCCCAAATTTTCCGAAATTTTCCGACATTTCCGAATTTTTTCCAAAATTCCGGGAATTTTTTTCCTCACCAACTCTCTTCTCGAAAAAGTTCGTCTTTCCCTGTAACGAAATCATCGTCATCCAATCAAATGGATTAGCACTATTATATATCTTTGCATACCCCAGGGCCTGAAAAAAAATCTTCATAGTGCGCATCAAAGTTTTCAGCTGGGAAAAGTTGGCAACTGTATTGTTTCGCGTAGAACGTTTATGACTAACACGCTCTTCATGAGCACGGATGGTATAATCGTTCGTGAAGTTTTGTTTAAAACGTTTATATTGTTACGGATAATTCATTAACACAATCGTTATAATCGTTCGTGAAGTTTTGTTTAAAACGTTTATATTGTTACGGATAGTTTATTAACACAATCGTTATAATCGTTCGTGAAGTTTTGTTTAAACGTTTATATTGTTACGGATAGTTTATTAACACAATCGTTATAATCGTTCGTGAAGTTTTGTTTAAACGTTTATATTGTTACGGATAGTTTATTAACACAATCGTTATAATCGTTCGTGAAGTTTTGTTCACACCGTTTATATTAACACAGCTTCGAAAAATAACGTTTCCCATGGGCGATGTCGCAAACTCTCATAGGAAAGGAGCTCAGAAGAAAATTACATTCCCCCCCCCCCCAGAGTTTGATAACAATGGGGGAAAATGTTACTAATGTGATGACTTCATTTACTGATTGAAGAATGTGCTCCTAGCCATACGTGGAAAATTCAAAATGAGTTATAAAACATTATAGTTTCCCTGTCTCTTACCACTAGCAATCGATCCGCGACGAACTCTATATATCGTCCCATCAGCTCAGCGTTCATCCCGATAAGCCCAACAGGAAGGGCATCGGTGATGAACTCCCTTTCCACGTTTACCGCACTCTGAACAAAAAGAAAATTCACGAGAAAAAATTTTCCGATTCGCCGAATTTCACGAGAAAAATCCCAAAAAATTTACCAAAAAGATTCAAAAAAAAGGAAACCGAAAAAAGGGAAAAACTTAAAGCACCGAAACTCACGTAAAACTTCAAAAAAAGTCAACAAAAATTTCCTGAAATTTTTTTCCGAATTTTCATACCATCACCCACCCTGACAATGTCTTCAACTCTTTCCTCGGGAAGTCTCGTAAATTTCAACATGTTATATAACAGGCACCCAAAATCAGTGTGGAGACCTGAGGAAAAAAATGGGGAAAATTTTTTCCTGAAAATTTCGGAAAAAAATATTTCTCGTCAACTTCACGTGTTGCAGCTGAGACTTTGTGTTGAAATATATGTTACCTCTCCTCAGATGAGCTAATTATCAAAATTTGGGTAGAAGTGTACAAAAATTAACAAGAATTTCCTAAAAATTTCCTAAAAATTTCCAGATTGTCACCAACTATTTTCCCACACTGCCAAAAATCATTGATTTTCGGAAAAAAAATATTCCTTAACTTCACTACCTATATAGAAAAAG